CCAGAACCCAGTTTCTTAAGGGCCTCTGACTTGGGTTATTTGTGTCTTATTATGTTGGCTTGAGGAATTATCTGTTTCCTAATGATGTTTCATGTATTCATTCACTGTGGCTCACAGTAGGACCCCTCCCAATAAAGTAGAACATAGGAAGGTTAGTGTGTATACACTGGGGTAGCACAGGGACATAAGATGAGCCCAAGGACTAAAATACAATATCCGGAGGCCTTCAAAGTCAAGGTCTATCTGGACCTGATATCCCAGGGCACTGGGAGGCACATCAAATCAAGCAGTATCTACCAAGTACCTCCTACACGGAAGTCCTTGGAATAAGTGCCAGAAGGCCCCCACCACCACCACCACCAAAAAAGAAACTACGATGTAGCCCTTCTCTTGAGAGAACTGCCATTGCAAGCAGTGCCTGAGAAATAATTCAATAATTATAGCATTTATAGTGTTCAGTGTGTGTCATGTTCCATCTTAACTGTTACGTGTGTATCATTTTACTGATGCTCAAAGCAATCCTATCAGATAGGCTCAACGACTGTATTCGTTTTACAGAACAGGGAACTGAAAGATAAGGAAATCCAAAGTCTTTGAAACTTCAGCCTTGGCTCTCTGCCTCCAGATTCCTTACTTTTAAGCATTATACTATAGTGCTTCCCAGACAAACTTTATGTATTTCAGGGCCTCTGGAGAAAGATCAAAGAAAAATAGAAATATATGCTCAGCATGGAGCAGTCTGTCTATTATGCCAGGTTTCTTCTACCTCTTTAACTGAAGCCTTGTAAAATATGAGGCTCACAAAGAATTGTCTTAGTTGTCTTATGATGTTTGGTCTAGAGAACCTAGGTTTTTAACCTAACCCCAGATATTCCTGGTTGAACGTTTATTGAACTTTAGGGATGTTTTGCTGTTGCTGCTGCTGCTGCTTTTATTGTTTTGAAATCTTAGCCCAAAAATGCTTTCTTTGTGCGCTTGCTACCTGAAATGTGGGTAACTGAGCAGAGTTACTTGTGGAGTTTGATCCCAGTAGGGAGTTATAAATTGGTGGCCTGTATCCTTGAATGAAACTTGGTAGTAAAATAACACCAAGCTGAAGTTGTAGGAGATTGAAGTGTAATGCATACATTCAGAATAACCAACACTTGGGGAAAATAAAATGATCTTCAGTCTGCCCACTTGTGACTTTCCCTTGGGAGTGATTCTTAGCCCACGGGCTCATGTATCAGGGACATACCAAGACTACAAAAACCTAACTCTAATTTAGAGATTTTTAAAGCTGTCACAGCTTGATTGAAACAGCAACACTGTCTTCATTATTCAAAAAAATAATTATAAATACTGGTAATGAGTTTGAGTTTTAATGTTCAGATAGTGCTCCATATTATCTTCCTACAGTGTTATATCTTACATAAGTCTTTAATTAACTTCCATTTGGCCTTTCCCTAGTGGCCTTGTGTTTGCATGTGGCCTCCGTTTCATCTGATTTCTTGCCTTTGCTTAAAGGTAGCATATGGCTTTTCCCTTCTGCCCTTTCTGTAGTGGCCAGCAGAGTGCCTCAGCAAGTGCAGTGACTGCAGCTCTTATATCCACACAGTATCTCAGCTTGTTCTTTAATTCATTCAGACCGTGTTAGTTTGAAGTTTCTTATGGGCCAAGCAAGGCCAGGGATATGTGAGACTAAGTGCCTCTTCTCTTTGTGTCCTAGTTGCCCACTTGTACAGGCACAGCATGTAGGGATAAGGACAGGCCCCCTTCCCTAGGGACCCACAGGACAATGTGAGGCACCTACGTGCATCCACCATTACACTGTCGATGAAGCCATGCTGCACAGGTTTTCTAGTCCTTATACCTGACTACATAATATGCTCAAAACGTGGAAGATAGCAATATTTGAATAGCATTTCCTTTCACATAACTTACATATTTTGCAGTAAACAATATTCAGATATTCTCAGAATATGCCTAGGGAAGAGTATTTTTAAATATTGTTTTATACTCATAAGGTAGGAGAAGTCATCTTTTTTGTCTTAATATAAAATAATGCAAAAAAAATCAGCAAAGAAATACCACAGTTGAACCAAACCTTTGAACAAATGGACTTTCTAGATATAGACAATGTGCTCCACCCAACAACAGAATTTACATTCTTTTCAGTTGCACTTGACTCCTCTAAAATAGACCACATATGAGTGAGTAAAGCAAGCCTAGGCAATATACAAGAGAAGCAAAATTTTAGCATGCATCACAGTGCAGTGAAACTAGAATTCAGTAGCAAAAGAAACCACAGAAACTGTGAAGCATATGGAAATTAAACAATAGACTTGAATAATCAGTGGGTCACAACAGAAATTAAATAACTAAGCCAGTTCCTAGAATTAATCATAATATCGCTACAACATACTAGAACTTATCGGACACAGTGAAAGCAGTCCTACGAGGGAAGTTTATAAGGGTAAATGTCCATATCAGCAAAATAGCACTAATAAATAACTTAATAGTGGGGCCGGGGAGATGGTTTAGTGGAATAAGAGCTTCCCTGGCAAGCACAAGGACCTGATTTCAATCCCCGGTTCCACCAAAAATAATAAATAAATAAATAAATAAATAAATAAATAAATAAATAACAATAGTGCGCGTAAAGATCCTAGAAAATCAACGACAATCCAAATCAGAGCTTGCACAATCAAATTATAAAGATCAGAAAAAAATTACTGAAATGGAGACTAAAAAAACAAGTAATCAATAAATTGAAGAGTTGGTTCTTCAAGAGAATAAATAAAATAGACAAACTCATAGCCAGTTTTGCCAAAACAAGAAAGAAAAGACACCAATTTTAGGCATTTAACAATGAAAACACTGGCTGGGTGTGATGGTGCACCCCTGTAATCCCTCATAGGAGGATCATCACAAGTTCGAGACCAGCCTAGACTACAGAGAGAGTTATAAACATTATTAATCTCTTCACAAACTCATATGGCAAACAATTGGAGAACTCAGGAATTATGTAAAGATTCCTAGATATACGTGAATTTGTCAAAATTAAACCAAGAAGACTTAAAACTCTTGAAAATCCAGTAATGGACAGTGAAACTGAAGCATCAGTAGAAAAGCCTACCAAGAAAAGCCCAGGACCTAATGGATTCACAGCCAAATTCTACAACTTCAACAATGTGATACCAGTGTTCCCCAAACTGTTAATGAAACTGAGAGGGAAAATTAGATATCCATATGTAGAAGACTGAGTCTAGAACCATATATGGAACTAAAATCAAAATGGATCAATAAAATAAATACTAAAACAGAAACACTTAATCTGCTGGAAGGTAACTGTCTTCAAGGTATAACTCTTGAAGACAGTTGTAATCAGGTCCTTTCTGAAGAGAACCCCTATAGTACAAGAAATACCAACAAACAACATATGGGATCATATCAAATGTAAAAGCTTTTGCATAGTACAGGAAACAACCAACAGAGTAAAGAGACAATCTATAGAATGAGACAAAATTTTTGCCTGCTGTTCCTCAGACTGAAGACTAACATCAAGAATATACAAAGAACTAAAAACAAACACATAAATAGCCTACCTCCAAATCAAAGATCCAGTCCAAAACTTGGCAACAAAATGAATAAATACTTCTCAGAAGAAGTACAAATGGCCAACAAATAAATGAAAAATGCTCATCATTGCTGGCCATTAGAGAAATGCAAATTAAAACTACCCTAAGATAACATCGTGTATCAGAAACAATGGCTACCATCAGAAAAATCTAAAAATAACAAATGCTGCTGAGGATATGGACAAAAAGGAACTCTACAACATTGTAAGCTAGTACAGCCGCTGTGGAAGTCAGTGTGAACATTCCTCAGAAAATTTGAACTAGAAATTCCACTTGGCCCAGCTCTTCCCCTTCTAGTTATCTTCCCCAAAGCATTAAAATCCTTTTACAGGAATAATAGCTAGATCTTAGAAACAGTGTATGTGCCCATCAACAAATGAATGGATAAAGAAAATGCAGTATTTATACACAGTAGAGTACTACACTACCATAAAGACAAATTAAATTTGTAGATAAGTGGGTGCAACTTGAGAGCATAATGGTATGTGAAACAAATCACACAAGTTCATATATTGCATGGTTTCTCTTATATATTAACATGGATATACATACAAATGCATGTATGTATATATACATATACATATACATACATATATTTGTGCGCAAAGAGCAAAACAAAAGAGAGATAAATAGGACGTAGAGAGTTCAGATACTCCCCAAATTAAAGACTATTCTAAAACCATTTTAATATATAGGCTGATTTGTTTTATTCATACTAAAAGTTTTAAGTTCACTGATAAGAAAGTTCATGTTATCTGTTTGTTTCTTTGGGGTTTCCCTCTTGTACTCAGCAATTACTTTGATGAAACAACACACAATGTAATGACTGTTATTTTCATTTGGTTGTAAAAATGTTTCCTTCCTAAATGAAAAATGCAGAGGTAGAAATATGTACATCATAAATGAACTTACTATCTTACTACTTTGAAAGTATTTCCTTGAAATCATAGTTGGGTCGTATTTGGACAGGGCAAGCTAATTTCTCCTCTGTTTTCTAGCTTAGCATTTTGGGAGTCACAGTGCAAATTCCTTTCATGAGGGAGACCAGATGCTTGAGTTCACCTTTAAAGACTTTAGTCCTACAGGTCAGCTTCTAAGCAAATGTGATGCTTTGCCCTGGTTCCTTTCTCCCTTTCTAAGAAGTCTGGTATTGATTATGGAGGTACCCCCACCCTGTGGAAACCATTAGTGCCGATCGCTGCTATTGGTTGAGGGCCCCACATCAAGTAAGATGCTTCTTACTTGAGAAACACAAGCTATTTATTGTGCTCTACATTTCCCGCTCCATTTCTAGTCAGCAGGCTTTGGAAATGTAAATAATTTAGAAACAAGTTTCTGTTATGTTTTTAAATATTCTTCTTAATTTCTTCTTAATTACAGAGCAAAGAAATTGCATTCCAACTTCATGAGGATTTAATGAAGGTTCTTAATGAGCTTTACACGGTAAGCATGTAATCTTTCCTCTTTTGCCTGAATTTTTGGGTACACGTTTCACATTTGGAGAAACACTGCTTTAGCTTTCTTCACTGTGACGAAGTACCTGAGAAAATCAGCTTGAAGGAGGAGAAGCCTCCCTGGGCTATGGTTTCCGTGGTTTCGGTATAGTTGACCTCATTGTGGCTCTGAGCTGCTGGTGGCGCAGAACATCATGGCCCAAGGTGCGTATGCATCCAAGCTACACACTTCTTGGTGGTAAGGAAACAGAACAAAGAGAGCTGGGTTTTACACAGAGCTCCTCTCCTATAACTCATGATGCTAGGATCCCATAAATAGAGAAAGCTAATCATGAGGCTAGTGCCCTTATAATCCCATCATCTCTCAAATGGGGACCAAACTTTCCACATATGAGCTTTTGAGGAAATTTAAGAAGCAAATATTAATCTTCCTCAACTTAGAACCCCAAACCAGAGTATCAGTAAATGAGATATCTGCTTGATCTATTTGAAATACAGAACCAGTTAGATGAAGGTATATTTCTGTATTTCCTCGCCCTTCCCTCCTCATTTGGAGAGTCCTTTTTGAAGTGTGTGTGGGGGAGAGGGGGGAATGGATCTAAGTATACTTTAAGAAACTATAGTACAGATATCTCAATTAAATATTTTTGAACTGGTTAGATCATATGCAGTCCTTATGTTCAGTTCTAGAATATTTTGTTTTAAACTGTTGCCGCTCTGGGACTTGAGCAATATCGAGTGGCTTCATTTGTGTAATTTCTTCGGGGGTGCATTTTAGTTCAATTGCTTGGCTAAGGATGTATTATATTAAAATTACATTTTTGTGATCTACTTTTTCTTGCTTGCAATAATTTGCTTTTTGTAACTCACATTCATTTAGGGTCTAGGTTATAAGAAATTAAATGCTTTTAAAAGCCTTTATTTAAAAAGAGCCAGCAAGTAACAAATGCTAGCCTGGAGCTGGGGGAAAGGAGCATCTCTCCACTGTTGGTGGGAATGTGGACTGGTGCAGCCACTGTGGAAATCAGTGTGGGGATTCCTCAAAAAACTAGGACTTGGGGGCCTGCCCCGTAGCTCAGTTCTTTAAGTGGCTGCTTCCACAAAGCAGTCAGGCTCAGGTTGCTGTGGTTTGATCCCCACAACTCAAGCCAGCCAAACCTGCCCTGAAGGCATTCGGAGCAAAAAAAAAAAAAAAAACAACTAGGACTGGAGGTCTCATTCAACCCGGCTATTCCCCTTCTGGGTATTTTTCCAGAAGAACTGAAAACATCATACCATAGCAGTATACGTGCACCCACGTGTATAGCAGCACAATTTGTCATAGCTACATCTTGTAAACAACCCAAATGCCCATCAACTGAAGAAGGGATAAAAAAGATGCATTCTGATGCAACAGAGTATTACTCAGCTATAAAGAAAGATAAACTCCAGGTTTTTGTGGGTAGATGGGTGCAACTAGAGACCACACTCATAAGTGAAATGTCAGACCCACCTGTGTAAACACTGCATTGTCTCCCTAGTGTAAGAAACTGAAAAATAAAATCTGAAGGCTACAGTAGATACTGTGAAAGGAAAAGAAACTGCTCAGAAGGAAAGAACAATTGAGATGACGGAAAAGAGAACAGAAAGAAGAAAGTGAAGAAAAGAAATCTATATCTATATCTATCTATCTATATATATACACACACATATATATACACACACACACACAAGATAGCTAAGATAATTGTACTACTAATTTCTGTTGGTGTATTGAAAGGACTAGTTAATGCTTAATTTTATGATCAATTTTGCATGCCGATATCTGGTAATCTGAACAATTACTTTGAAGATAACAATGTAGAATACAACAACCGTTACTGATTTCCTATCTTGTTTTCAAATTCTGTGTCTTGTTAGTGTTTTTTTTAATGTTTTATTCTCTTTAAAAAAACAAGAGCCAATGCCAGTGAAGTTACAAGTTGGAATTAGTAAGATGCTATATAATTTTTTTACATTTAATGATCATATTTTAAAATAAAAATTCCTTTTTGAAGTTTTAAGCAGTTTTTATTTCAAGAGAGTAAAACCATATAGTGAGTAATGAATATTACAAATTTGTACTAATGGTGGACTTTTTATTATACAAGGTTATTTGAATTTTTATTTACAGGAAAATTAAACCAGAACTTATTATTAAAATATAATTGATGATTTACAAATTCCACTTGTTCTTTAAAAGCCACATGTGTACAATATAGTTCAGTTAATTACATTTTATTTTAAGGCACTGTTGACATTTGTTAGTTTAAAAGAATCCATAAATTAAATTTACATTAAATAAGTGATATTTCCATAAAATGAGCTTTTAAAGTTTTTGTGTGTATGATAAACCTGTACTTTGTAGACATATCTACTACAGCTGTATGAACTGAATTGACAGTTTCTGTGTTAATTTCTCCTATAGAAACTTTTCATTTTACATGAAACCTACAAAAGCCACATGTATAAGGCATACCCATGCACCAAAATACCTAACTCTACCACATTATCAGAGCCAATTACCTGCATATGCTTCATGTCTTTTGTTAATTTCTGATAATCCAAGACACAAACCCTTTGTAGAAGCCTAGTAATGTAAAAGTTAATTGAGCACTGTGTCTCTGAGACCTCTCACAAATGGGCAGGAATTCTGTGTCTTCTTTCGTTGAGCTGTGTTAAATGAAGACCTCTTGCTACTTTCTTTGTGTTCCCCTTGCTTGGGTATTGTTTTGTCTAAAACATAAACTCATCTCTAATGCTTTAAAAAAACAAGCCTGCTGGTTGTCAGAGCATCCTGGACAGAACCTGTTGATAATGGCCTGAAACTAGGTGTGCTATCAGAACAGCAGTAGCCAAGGTAAACTCGGTCTTCAGATACAAGGGAAGTCACGAGAATGCATTAGATTTGTATCTCGGTGAGAGCTGTGTATAGTGACATTTCCCCTAAATACACCCTAGTAACTATACTGAGAAATTTAGCAGGTTCGCTACAGTTGGATCCAGTCAGCTGAAACATTCTCAAAACTCTCATCAATGTCGGTCTGAAAGCCTAGAGGGGCTGGAAGTGGAAAAAGTTACCAGAGTTGGAGTGAGTTTGTTAGTCTTTAACCTCTGAGAATCAGTGGGAGAACTAAGGGATAGAGGAGACAGGTAGTGAGGTTTTAATTACTTCATCTGTAGATCACTTGGAACTCCTGGGAAAAATTTTTTACTGTAACCAGAAAACATGCTCAGCCTGGTCCAGAGATTATAGTCCATAGGGAAAGGACTTCTGACCCCCTTCCTACCCCTGTCTTTCTCTCTCATGAATGCAAAGACATGTTGTTGTTCTAAAAGGAGATGGCATTGTTCTCCTTATATTTCATATTCATATACACAAATTCTGTATTATTCAGATTTAATTAATGCATCACGTATAGTTTATAGCTCAGCGGCAGAGCTAGGCAATAGCATATGCAGGATTGTGGGCTCAGTCCTCAACACCAAGAACAGACTATATCCTGTTTACACTAGGAAAGAGTAAAGGAGGAGTATGTTTGAGCAGTGGACCAGGAGTTGAGGAAATATAGCTTAGGACAGTGTTAGCAAACCTCTTAAGGCTTTTAGCAAGACAAACAGCCCACTGTGAGGCATGTGTCATAGAGTCACCTCCACTGGTTTAGGAGAGTGTTTTTTGTTTCTTATGCAACTGTTAACTGGTATTTTGGTCATATATGAATCAACCTCTGGTTGCATTGTGCACAGAGTTTTGTGCAGTAAATATAGAGTGAAATAAATAGTCCAGTGATAAGAGCAATGAATGATAAGATAGTAGACATAAATTAGATACCCGAGCTAATTGAGGATGCTACTTAATTGCCTTCTTAGACTCCTTCATTCTTGCTCTTTAAAATTCTTTAGGACTTGAAAGTGAGCATTTCAGAAGTATATTAACTTCTTTATACCACAGGATTATTTTGTTAAGTCACAATCAACTGTAGCAACAGGTGAGACAATGATTAGTGGACTTCCGTCCAAAATAGGTCATCCTAAATGTAGTTTCCACAGCAGTCATTGATATTCCTAGCATTCCATCCAAAGACTTGTTCCAGTAAAGTTACAAATGCCCAGGAAAATGAGAAGAAACATGTAATAATCATTTATCGGTAGAGTGAACTGAAGCTGATCGGTCCAGGTTGTGCAGGTGATGTGGTAGCTGTCATTCGGTGAGGTGACAGACAGATGCTATGATAGAGGACAGGATATAAAGCTGATAGAGCGTGAAGCCCTGGACTGAAGGCAGGAGAGGATGGTGGCGTCAGAGAGGGCTTCTGAAAAGGGGGGGGGGGGACTTTAAAGATATGCAGCTCCTCTTCTGTCTGTGAGCCCTATTTTGATTTTATTGGCCAACACCAAGGCTTCAGAATGATTTCAAGCCCCCATTTGGATATTTAGAACAACATGAGGCTGAGCTTAAGATTAGTTTGGCCTTGAATTACAGAGGTGCTCAAAATAATGGCCTGAGTAAGTTACAAGATTGTATTCTGTCACATGTGAGAGGTCCAAACCATGCCCCAATGATGGTTCTTTGATTACATAAAGCCCTTCAAGAATCAGGATCCTGGCTAAAGAGATAATTCAGTGATCTAAGCACCTGCCTGCAAGCGCAAGGACCTGGGTTCAATCCTTGGTACTGCATGCCGTGCTGGCCCCAGGACACTGGACATGCCATGCGGGCCACCGAAACCAGGCGTGGTGGTGCACACCTGTAATCCCAGAGCTGGAGAGGCTGAGATAGGAAGACCACTGTGAGTCCAGGCCGCATAGTGAAACCCTATACCAAATAAATAAAGATTAAAAAATTACATAAAAAAATCAGGAACCCCTGTATCCACTGTTTGAAGAACTCCAGTTGCAACATTTGTCTTTATAGTTTCAAGTAATTATAAAGCCTCAGCTGTTACCTCTGCATTCCTAGAAACAGAATGG